ATATAAGTACTTTTATACGAAAAAGTCCTAAATCAAAAGGATATCCAAAATTCAGAAATAGTTATAAAGGTATAAATATACTAGTATATCTCGAAGGGATTATTAATTTAGTAGTTAGTATATAAAACGCCTTTAAAATAGCTAGAAATACTAGAATAATAGTACTTTCTATAATAATTAGACCTCCTTTATCTAAAATCTAGCTTTATTTTAACTTTAGTACAAATACCATGTAAAATACGTGAAAATTAATATATATTAATTATTAGTTGTTAGTTGTTAGTTGTTAGTTGTTAGTTGTTAGTTGTTAGTTGTTAGTTGTTAGTTGTTAGTTGTTAGTTGTTAGTTGTTAGTTGTTAGTTGTTAGTTGTTAGTTGTTAGTTGTTAGTTGTTAATTAGTAGCCCTATCCGATTAAGTCCGTTCCGTATAGTTATATCCATGTGACATTTGCACTAATGTAAATATATCGTAGGTACCTAGAGAGAGCATTATACATTGGTAGGTTGAAAGCTGCATAATTCAAGTGAATAAGTATATATACAATAATTTACTATCATTCTTTAGAGAAGGGCAAACAACCTTTACTTTCGCTATTCTGTTTCTTTATCCTAACTGGTGATTACTCTTAGCTTGAGTGCTGAAGGTCTAGCTAATATCTCAAATTATTCTAACATTATAACCTATTCCTATGCTGAGCTATTCACGGCCACTCTTGTATCAGAATGTGTGGCAGTAATGGGGCTCATGACTATTTAGTCAAGTGTCCATTACCCTAGTCATACCTTAAAACACCATTGTTCTAGAACTACTAGAACAATCAACTTAATTGTTCAAATTCACTTATTAGGTTGATAAAGCTATATTGATTTTAGTTATCCCAAATTCCTTATATAACTCCTTTCATTCAAGGAATTTGGGATAATTATTACAACCTAGGTATATTCAGAGTAATACCCACGTACATCTCTTACATCACCAACACAAAATTAAATCAGTCCAAACAAACCTCCCAAATCTCCTATCTCCCCATATAACCATCATCCTTCAAAAATCTCCGCTTATCACCTCCCCCTTCTTACATCCTATCACCGTAGCACGGACCCACTATGCAATCCAGCGGGACCTGGACTATGCCACATTATTCCAATCCCCAATAAAATCTAGCAACCAACATCAGGTGCAATAATCTCGGCACAAAATACAACAGAAGAAAATTACTTTTTGAAGATGTGAAGTATATAACGCGTCGAGAATTATCGGGTTCATATCACAGGTTTTGACTGGGAAAAGGGGGAGGGGGGTGGTTAAGCGAGGTGTTTCAGATGAGAGGTTGATCTCGAAACTAAACAATCAAGTTTTCTATCTGTGGTCCTTAGATACCTCCTCAGCGAGCTTAAGATCAGAGAGCATGCAGAAGAAAGACGAGAGCTGAAGTGAAGTTTTCAACGGGGATTGGCCGTTGTAAAGAATTGGCATGCTCACAGCTACAAAACAACAAGGGATATCTATCATCTTGTCCATCTATCTACCAGTAAACACTGTACACATCCCCACCTACCCTCCTCGCCCACTCTCCTTCATACAGAACTACTGTACCAGCCATCCCATAAACCCGAACCCAAACCCCGCGAGCATGCAACCCACTAATCGCAAGTAATCTGGACCTGAATGACCATCATCATAACACCCACTCCCTCCTCCCCATCACTCCTCCTCCATCCCATCACCCCACATATACCCAACAAATCCTTCCCAACCGCCCATCACCACACAATCCCCTCCACCCCCCAACAAAGACACACAGGAAGGCAGGTAAACAAGAGGCAAAGACCTACAGTACCTACAACCCATCCACACCAATAACATTAACACACCCAGCCACAGCAACAGCAACAAGTCAGATCCGATCCGTTGACGCTGCGAGAAAGGAGGATGAGGGAGAGGGAGATGCCACAGGATACCCGGTCTCTTTCCTGTAAGGTACGTTGGTGATGGGATGTGGTGGCCGATAGACAGCGAGAGCCTTGATGTTCATTGTGTTTGAGGGATCAGGAACCAGGAAGCTGGGAGTTGGCGCCAATGCGGGACTACGGCAGAGGTAGTGGGCGCGAGGAGATGGGTTGCTTTGCTTGGGCACACTGTGTGGAGGGTGAGAAGGGTGAGAAGGGTGATCCACGAATGGAATGGGAGGGATGAGACATCCTCCTACCTTCCTTCCTTCCTTCCTTCCTTCCTTCCTTCCTTCCTTCACATAATGAGATGGGGGAGAGAATAGGTTTGATGACCATCCATAGCAGGAATACAAATGTCTAGCTGAATGGACATGATACCTATCTACGAAAGCTAGACGCCGAACTTCAGCTTAGTGAGGTTAAGACGGCATGGATTCTATGTTTTGAAGTTTTGAAAGATACGGAGGGCTCTCTGACGAATGAGGTCAAGAGACTTGGAGATGTGATGGTGTATGGATATCCTTGGATGGGAGACTAGAGATGTAGGCAAGTAAGGGAGTTGATCCAGAGTTCCAAGGTTAAAAATAGAACGCGTGGATCTTTTGGGAGATATATATTGGGATGGGTTGAGGTTGAGGTATCATGTTGACTCTTCATTTGTCAAAAGGTAGTTGGTGGTCGATGAACCTTAAATGGGGAATTGGAAATAGAATGAGTGGAAGACTCCGGGGATTCGAGTTTGTATACGGAAATAGATTTGGAGTTATGATATTGTAACTAGAGGAGATATGATTGTACAAGGAGACTTTCGAATCACGTAGTCAGGTACATTATCGAACCTTTGACAGCGGCTATATGAGAATGTTCTTTATTTAGAAAAACGATTGCTGAATTCAAGTCCTGTACTTAGAAAGTCAAGGTTCGGTGGTCAAAAATAGATCATGTTGAGAGAAGTTGAGGTAAAAAGCATGTTGCGAACTATGGACAGTGAAGATGCAGTGAACTAAGCGATGAGGCTCAACCAGCGGCAATCAAGATACTAAACTGCAGCAATGAACGACCGCTACCTTCTCAGAAACTTCTAAATAAAGATCACAATCCAAATCAAGATTCAGATTATCCAAAAGAAATGTAAAAATAGAAAAGAACACTGATCTTGGAAGAGAGGAAGGTCGTTATTAATGTGAAAGGATTTCTAGCTCGTGCAGTGGGTATGTCAATTGGCTCTATACGGCGGGCATCCAAGCCAGTCAGCCTTTCAAGTCAACAAAATAGATTTCTTTTCTGATAATTTTGATCAAACCCCTCGCTAGCGTCTCAGTCATGTGGATTGAATCACAATATTGACTGACAGTGAAAACATCAGAATTGTCTGCGACTTTGATGATTGGAATTGCATAGAAGCCTACACACAATATTGAAAATCTCCTATCTTGGAGAGAAAGGGATAAATGAAGAAGCTCATGAGAATAAGAATATTGATTCTTGTTCTCACAGCGGTTCAGACGATTAGCGATATCAAGATAGAGTAGAACGCATCATTGGAGTCCCAGCTGAAAGTTCTTCAATGCAATGCAAGAGAAAAAAACACGCATAAAAGACGATAAGGAAGGCGGGGAACCTGGAAATGATAAATTTTCAACACGCCTTCGCGGCTAATAATTACTGATGTGGAAGGACTTGTGGGGAGGGTTATGTGTGATATGGTAGAAACCCCCCACGTTGTCATACTACATCCACGGTGGGGAGAACGACGGTTGGCGCTTGAGTGAGGGGAAGCAAGTACGATGGAAGCCATAGGAGAGGAAATGGAAACGAAAAGATATTCAGACGTGATCTACAAACATGAAGATTGCAAAGTCCGGCGCAACGCACACCCCCATAAGCGCGATATGGGGGTCAAGAGGCTTACCGAGAAAGCATGCCGGTCATTCTCGCGTGTGTTTGTCGTCAACAATCCCAGCATGTAGGTTACTGGAGATATGCTTGATCGTCTCTGCGGCACACGGAGAATTGTGTGACGGAGAGACTGTTTGATTGGTGGGACGAGAGGCATCGTCAAGCTGTGCGGCTGTGCCTCTTTCTTCCCCAATAGTTGGACGTGTACCCTAGGACCAGTTAGCAATGATTCTCGACGGAATGACGAGCAGTAGCTGAGATTCCAACACGGAAAGACTTCATGTTTCCAACTGGGTAAGCAAGTCTTGCATCTATTGCGTGCATGCGAGAGGCATTGCTTAGTATTGTTCTTTTTTTCTTCGCCCCAGAAAGGTTGATATCTCGCACCCGTTTGGTCTGGCCACATGGTTTCCTCTATTGGTGGAGGCAGGAGAAGGGTGGAGATGTTCCGGGGAAGCCCAAGGCGAGCGGTAGTAGTAACGGCTGGCGTTGGACGTTTGCCGGGCGTTTCCGAATTAAGACTTTGAAGCGCATGAAGATAGTTGTCGTCTGTAGATAATGATGGAAATTTGTTGGTGTTGGCAATATCATACGGAGTATCGATTACCAATGGTGACACTGTAGCAGCAATGCCTCTCTGTGAATATACCTACCTAGCTAAGTATATGCCTATGTATAGATAGATGTGCACGTGTCTGCTGTCACTGTCGCCGTCATACAGCGCGAATCCTCGGGGCAGTGTTGCGGTAGAGCAGCATACGCAACCTATTTTCAGCCGCCATAGGCGAAATTGTTCGCCTAGAGTAACTGGTTGTAGATACAGAATACCTGGTAGAGGACCACTCTGATATAATTCGCCTGTAATGATTGTGTTGAGTCTCCGAATGTGGATGTGATGTGGATGTGGGTATTGACCTGGCGATGGTGTTCTGATCGAGTAGTGTATGGTACAGAATAGGTGCTGAGGGAGCCAGTAGGTTGAGGTCCGCAATTGCCCCGGGCGCCGACCCCCTCTGTGCCCCTGCCTCAGCGATTCTGCACCAACCTCCACCCCACTGAGTTCACCCCTCCCAGCACGGACATTTTTGGTGAGCGCTTAGGGATTTCTGGGCTGGGGTGCATTCTCTCCCAATCACCACCCTTCAGCCCTTCTGCAGCACTATCACACTACCAATAGCAAAAGTCGGTCTTCTTCGGTGCACGCACCAGCATACTACTGATACGGGCGGGTGGCTCCTCATGCATCACAAGCCCCTTGAGCAACTACTCGAGTACGATCTCGGCGGGTGCTGGTCGTACAACTTCACCACTTCCCAACCGAGAGTATAAGACTATAAGTTGCTTTCGGCCTCCCTCTGCCCTCACTCGCTCCCAATCGACTGGGTTTGGTTTAGTCTCCTCCCAACTACAGTATCAGACCTCTTTCACGCCAGCTTTCCGTGTCTGTGCCTCTCATCAGCCTGAGCCTTTAGGGAACCCTAACCCTAACCAAAATGAGGATCGGGTGTCTTCAGTTCGCTCCCCAGGTAAATCTAGATCCACGATGTTGAGGGATACGGAAAGCGCAGAGTACAAGCCATACTGATACCATGGAAGGTCGGTGATGTCGACAACAACCTCAATCGAGCAGATGCAGTACTAAGTAAAGCCAATCCCAAGAACCTGGACTTGTTGGTACTTCCAGAGCTCTGTTTTTCGGTCAGTCAGCTCCCAACCGTTGGTGAATTCTGCAGCGGGGCAGTGGCATTTGGGGGAAGCAGATCCACCCGATGCCACACTTCTGCCGGCGATACTGGTCCATAATTTCTCAGCGGCGCATACTAACGTCCTTCTCACAGGGCTACAATTTCAAATCATTGCAGCACATCACTCCCTTTCTCGAGCCGACGACCTCCGGAATAACTTCCTTATGGGCTCGAACTACAGCGTTGAAATACAACTGTATCGTTACCGCTGGATATCCCGAAAAAGTGGATATCAAGGCAAAATGGCCCGCATCTCCAGAATACTATAATTCTGCCATCACCGTAAATGCCGAAGGCGAGACCGTTGCGAATTATCGAAAGTCTTTCCTCTACTACACTGATGAAACATGGGCTCTAGAGGGGTCAGGATTCTATAGTGGTGAGATTGACGGCCTTGGAAATGTTGCAATGGGAATTTGTATGGACCTCAAGTAAGTTTGCTTGCGATGTGTGTGGCGTTGTTGGTGGAATCCCAAAAAGTATATATCTCCGGCGCGTACCGGTTGGTGTTGGTTACCCGCCCTGGTGGTCTATGTTTTGTTCTGCTTTGCATAACAGAACATGATTTGTCCATCTTTTCCGTTTGCGTTGAATTGCCAGCATAGATTCAAAGATAACTAACATTGTATTCGTAGCCCCTACAAATTCGAAGCACCATGGAATGCCTGGGAATTCTCCTACCACATTCTCTACAAAAAGGCGAATCTGGTAGTCATGTCAATGGCATGGCTTACCCGTGAAGATTTTACCACTTTTAGTGTAGCGCAACATGACCCAGACATGGAAACTCTTTCATATTGGCTGTCCAGGCTTGAGCCGTTGATCAGAGCCGAAACAGTCGGGGAAATAATCGTGGTTCTAGCAAACCGGTGTGGAAACGAAGGAGAGGTTGTGTATGCTGGAACGAGCACGGTACTTGGTATCCAGGCTGGCGAGGTCAAAGTATATGGTATACTTGGCCGCGGTGAAAAGGAACTTTTGGTTGTCGACACCGACAGAAGACCAAAAGCCAAGCTTATATCACAGCCCAACTCAGCCGCGTCAACTGCTACTGATACCACTGCACAATCAAGAGATACAGAAGCCTCTGGATCGACCGGTGACACCTCACCAGATGACGATGAAATGGCGGATTACACTGATGGATATGGTTCCTTGTCTGGGAAACATACTAATAATCACTCGGTATCTTCCGCTACAACATCATCTGACGAGGAGAGTCATTATCGAAGCACGATGAACTCTGCTGGTCAATCCCCTCGATTTCCTGTTACTCCAGATCGGACCCCCACATCACCCAAAAAGCGTGGAAAGATTCCAGCATCTTCAAGCTCCTCAGAGGTGACTCCTACTTCTCCTCATGTCAGAGGAAGAACTCGGGCTCGTGAAGACGATTTCGCAACCCAGGAGTCAGGATGGGTTTATCCCGAGAAAAGGTCGCCGCTTAATTCCACCGACAATATTCCGCCCAAACCTACTTCAATATCTGGTCAGAGTTCCCCAAAAGCAGGGAGTCAAACACGCGATCGCACTCTTGGTGAGCGCATTCGAGAACGAACGAGGGAACGCGCGGAGAAAGAACGCTCTTTTCGGTCTCAACATACCCAATCGCCGAAACTCACTCATCCCTCTTCTCCCCGGAAGAGGGATCGTTCGGAAAAGCGATCTGTCACATCACCTAGAGATGCACCCCCTGTACCCAGTCTACCTCCTTCGCCTCATAAAAGAGGCCGCACTCGAGAGCGATCACAGCAGTCCTCTTCTGATATGTTGTCAAAACAAGGTTCCTCTTCCCAGCCCAGTCAAGCTCCTCCCTCACAGAAAAGAAGTGAGACTCGGGACCACACGAGGGAACGCACTAGAGAACGTAAACAGGACAGAACTCAAGGTCGTTCCTGCGAACCAACAGATGAGCCTATGCCACTATCGATGGAGCCCAAGACTGCACTTTCATCAAAGCAAGACGGCACTCGGCAAAACGCTGATATACCACCACCGCTGCTCTCCAAGGATGTTTATTCTCCTAAGCTCAGCCAGCCTTCTCCTGCACAGGAAAAGACCTCCAATGGGAATAGCAATCAAGACAATGGGGAAGATGCCCCGGTTCTACTCTCACCTCATGTTTACTCGCCCCGTTTTTCTTCAAAACGATCACCGACGACTTCTCCTCGATTGCCTCCTCCCCCAGCCACAAACTCTGAAAATCTTGGGCCCAAGATTGCCGTTGTTACTCAAGGACTAAAGCCAGAAGCAAAAGCAAACTCTTCACTTTCTTCTACCATTAAATCCCCACTTCCCTCTGATTCAGTTGGTACAGAGCACTATCAGTCATCATTCACTAGTAAGACCTTAGGCACTCGAAGTGAGCATGTTTCGAGTCGCCCACGAAGCGCTTACTGGTAACTTGTCAATTGACATTTCAAGTTCATATTTATTTCCGGAGTATCAATGCTTGATATATCCTCTTATATTAGTTTATCTTTTTATTGCAGCATGGTGTTTGGAATAAGCGAGTATACCAGGGTGGGTGTTTACGGAGTAAGGAGTTTAGGGGTTTCATTTTTTTGAGATCGAAAGCATTATACCTGGAAATTGAAGCGTCTTTGTTCTGTGTTATGTATATTACTTTGAGCGCACAATATGAAATGGTTTTCTACATGTCTTTTGTTTGATTCCAACTACCGAGATATATTTTGTTCCGTTATATGTTCTGTTCGATATGTCTAGTAGACGGACCAGGACTCATATCCCAATATTCGCTTGTGTCACTAGTTTCCTTGCAAGGGATCATTGCGTTTCATTTCGGCTATCGTATCTACAGTATGGGGTAGGTTTGTTTTGTTTTGTTGTAGGTTTGGGGATGGGCTTAGGTTTGTCGTATCTGAGAGTTTTTTTGTTTCTTTGTGGCGTGTGTCATCTTTTTGGGGATGGGATGTTTAAGGTACCAACCAGTACAGTAAGATGGGATGGATGGATGGGTTTTCAGGGTATAGCCCTGAATGGAGAGATGGGGAATGGGACGAAGACTTTTGGGTTTGAGATGTGCCTGTGATTGGTTTTAGAGGGAGTTGGCGTTTGGATAGGATACTTTGATAGTCAATGCGTCATTACTATGCGTTCGCTGTCTTGACGTAGGTTGTAGTTGGGTTATTTGAGGTGAGTTGATTTGAAGTAGAAGTACAAGTAGGTAATTTTGTAAACGTAGTAGTGTAGTATAGTATATCAAACTATTTGCGTACTAAGTAGTTAGCTGAGCTGTACTAGGGTATATTGATCACGCTAGCTCGAGGCTACTTAGTAATTTTCAAATGGTCGACTTAGCTGGAATAATGCCTAGACGCGCTTTGGAGCTTGGACCGACTTGCTACGCACTACTTTAATACTTGGGTAGTACTCTACACTGCTCACTTCGAACGCCAAGGGAAATAAGCTGATTACCAGTTTTCTCTGAGGAGGGGGTGAAGTACAGTAGTAGTGTCAGTGTCTTTTGGACGCGTTGTCTCTCTTTCCCTCGTTCTTTCTTTCTTTCTTTCTTTCTTTGTTTTCTTTCTTTTATGTACTATCTTTGAAATGGCTAGGAGGAAGTATTTTGCATCCTGTAAGATTACTGTACGTGAGGAAATCATTTCTGTAGATTTGCAGATGATTCTCAATCGTCTTTTCATCTATAGTAAGCTTATTGGGACGGCAGCCAAGAGCATAGTTCGCTTCTTAAGTGTGTGAGTGAATTCCTCAGATCCTGGATCCTGGTTCCCATAAATCGCCCCTTCCGTCCACGATTTCTTCTTGCAACTAACAACCGGACCACAAATCAAGAAATGACCGTCATCATATGATCCCTAAATTGTATCGTTGTCATCTATCTAAATCTCTTGTTCTTTTCGTTTATTCTATTTATCCTCATATTAAACTTGTTGTGGGCGGTCCTGACGGTCCGTTGACGCCGCGTTTTGGTGATTAGGCAAAAGTTGAGATTGGCGTGTTTGGGAAGGGATTGGATGAACTGGTTGCACATGTACCATCTGAATTGATTGATGGGATATGTACCCCACAGTTTTGCACAGCATATGCCATAAGATGGATCCGGCTTTCATTGTTTCATCCTTGTCCTTGTTGTTATTGGAGAGTGAGCGATCGTCGGCTGACTTGGCTTGGGGGATATAAGGAAGAGGATCTGTTCCCTTCTTGAGAGCTTGAGTTTTGGTTTGTTGTTCTTCTTCTTGTTTGTGTTCCTGCTTTTGGAAGTCTTTACACGATAATTTGTTGAGTTTCTGATAAGATGAGGTATTCATTGCATTTGGTTGGCCTTTTGGCTGTGGCTACGACTGTGGTTGGACATTCTACGTTTCAGGACCTATGGGTTGATAGGTTTGTTCTTTTCTTTTTCTTCTATCCTCCACGATCTTTTGGAGTTTGTGTGGGGGGAGAGAATTGGGATGGAGATACTGACATCTTTCTAGTAAAGATGAAGCGACAAATTGTACGCGTATACCACTGAGTAATAGCCCCATAGGGAGTGTCACTACGAATGACATACGATGTAACAAGGATGTTAAGGCTGCTGCTTCTACTTGTACTGTTCCTGGTATGTTTCTCTCTTCCGAGTCTTCTTCTACATTTCTCAAGAACCACCGAAACAAGAAGCTGACTGGATGACACAAAACAGCCGGTTCTAAGATCACAGTCGAGATGCATGCTCAGCCCAACGACCGCGCCTGTAGTCACGAAGCCCTAGGAGGGAATCACTTCGGTCCTGTCATGATCTACATGTCCAAGGTCTCTAGTGCAGTGACTGATCCGGGAAGTGGGGATTGGTTCAAGATTAGTGAGGAGGGTTACAACCCTACCACTAAGAAGTGGGGAACTGTATGTTTATTTTGATCTCTTCCACTTCTTCGTCTTCACGTTCCCCTGGTTTGAGGTTGTGAGAGAGATACTATTGTACACCTGAAGAATAAGCGCTGAAGACTCCCAAATAGGATAGCCTCAACGCCAACTGCGGAAAAAGAGACGCCGTCGTTCCGGCCAGTATCGCTCCAGGTGACTACCTCATTAGAGCCGAGGCCATCGCTCTTCATGCTGCTTCATCAGTTGGAGGTGCTCAGCCCTACGTGACATGTTACCAAGTCACCGTTACTGGCTCGGGAACTGTTACTCCTCCTGGTGTCAAATTTCCGGTATGTTTTTCCCAATTCTCGAACTTTTCATCCTTGTGGCCGGACGAGTGAGGGAAAAGAATGACGTTAAGATGGAGTGAGTTGTGGGTTGTGAGTACCATAGCTAATTTTCTTGACATAGGGCGCTTATAAACCAACGGATCCGGGAATTCAGGTTAATATCTATAACAATCTCAAGGAGTACATCATTCCTGGTCCTCCTGTTTTCACTGGATGAGAAGTCTTCTTTTTGCAAGAGGGACTTAGGTTTGGTTGGATCTGATGAAAGTTACGGGGGGTGGTTTTGGAAGGTATCATATTGATGTATTAGATGAAAGTCTGATTGTATATACATTCTCTTTCAGTACATATATGTTATTCTTTCGGCCTAATAAGTCATTCATTACTTTGAACACAGCTCGAAGGAATCTTCATACAGCAGAACTTTCATTAGCGGCTTGCCATGTTATGCCATTTCAGCTCGTTCTCTTTGGTGTTGAGCTGTAGAAAGGACATCAATGTGTGAATTGATTCCCTCGACTTTGCCTTTTGGACAAAGGGTTGTGTGAACTTCAAGAGATGTACATCGTTCGATCATTGTTTGCCCCTTCCATATGCTTCCTCTTAATCATCTACAATATATGATCACTACTTAGAGAGAAGACAATCTTGTTTTACCCATTATTCTTGTTCTGACCCACTTTGAGAGCAGTGAATGAAATCTCAAAAGCAATGAGCAAGTCGGTCATCTGAAGTTAGATTCGTCATGGCGAATCTTCAAGCAAGTCTCCTTGCTGAATACTGTAGTAATACAAAGCAAAGGCAGTATAAAACTCAACAGAACTAAATGAAAGGGTTTTTGTCTTAAATTTCTAGAGTATTTTATGATTCAAATAGCGATAAGATTAGAATAAAAGGAAGTCGAAATGCTACAGGACTTGACAAAGGTACTATTACACGTGGGTATTTGGAATCACGTATGAATTTTGTTTTGGATTGCATTGCAAAAGAACCTAAGACTTTGTAGGGAGCAGAGTGCCCTCTAGTAAAACTCGGGTGTCTACAAGAGGAAGTTCACTGAATTGGTCAATTGAGACGAATGTGTGTGAATTATATTTTTTTCCTCTATTATTTGGTGAATAATAAGCAACCAGTACCCATATTTGTCGTCCAATTCCATAACAGTCCATCTATTTAGGGGCGCATCTGATCTCTCCGATGAGTTTACTACCAGCTGGTTCACAGCTGACGCTATTGGCCTTGTTTCTAGAAGGAACGGTGGTCTCTCGAAAAGTTTGGAAGGGCCCTATCTTATCGATTCCTGCGCACTAGAGGAGAATAAGTCTCTATACAATACGTGATTCGACATTCTGAGTACTTACGCAGTAGGTTGCCAGTCCTTCTGCTTCGCAACCTCCATTTCCCTCAGTTCCGTCGTTGCAGAATCTTCCCTTTGGTAATAATTGTGCCATGACCGACGTCGCAATGCTCAAGACGATAACGGAGGTGAGTTTCATGATGGGTGGTTGGTGGAGTGAAGAGAGCGAGGATGAAATAGTGTAAATCTTGTAAGTTGAGGTGTTTATGAGGAGAATTGGAATGAACAGAGGGCGGACGTACTCTTCTTTTTTGTACTTCAAAGTTGTTCCATACTTTACTCGTACAGTGTTTATTATAAATTACTCAGCGATCATGATTATGACCCGCGTCTTCCTTCTCCAGTCTCCAGAGCTTACTTGTAACATCCCTTCCAGCGTCAAACATACCTATAGTCTTGAACTGAGGCCAAGCGTCCGATATTCACATACAAAGTAATTTGATGCGTACGTTCTATGGGTCTTTCCCAAGTCCTCTGCCACAAAATAAGGGTGGTGTCAAAGTCCTCGCTACTTCGTATTCTCTCCAAGATCTACAGGCCCGTGAATCAAAAGTATTGGCGTGTGTGCAACCTATCACGAGGTCGCTATACGATTCTTGACCCATACGGGGTTTATACCCGCCTTCTTGTTTCGGATGATTTTCAACGCACGGATGATTTTGGACGTTTGACGTGGGAAGGGACTTGAAACTATTTATCATTGCCGAATTTACCGTAAAACACGCCCACAATGGCTCCCTCATAATATTAATCACGTGAAATCATTAGAATAAAGTCACTGATTCTTTGAGATGGTTTTCAAGTACATTCTAATATAGATTTATGTTTTGTAGTTTGGGAATGAACATATGGTAGCGGAACTACCTCTTTATATATGTGTACTGTACATCTGTTGTCGTATTAAGCTATCACGCACATTTCAACTAGATATCCAATAGTTCCCGTTAAGCGATAACGCAAATGAAGGACGCACCGAATGTTACTTCGTAACAGGCATGCACCGAATACAGGATTTGAAATACGTTTCGACGTAGTAGAGTTTGTTTTCCCACGGATTACTCGTATTGAGCCGCAATATCGACGAATGGAGTATTATGTGGGCCAATTAGTAGGAGTCCGTCCACAGACCAAGTACAGAGCCGAGTGTCAAGTAAACCTTAATTAAGGTGATATAGGATATCAAAAAATGATTTCCTTACCACTAAAAGAGGTACAGATAAACCTGGATATAAGGATATTCGTGGGGGCAAGTTTCGTAAGGATATAACCGAGGTTATCCTTATAGCGAGGTCTCCTTAGTATATACACCAGAAAAAATCGGGACCTAGAATTTAAGGAGATAAACGAGGTTATCCTTATATCCAGTATCCTTATAGCCAGGTTTATCTGTAAAGAAAAACAGGACCTTTTGCTCAGGAGCAATAAGTCGCCCTCAAGATCGTTAAATCGCCTGATTCGCTAAAGTTCAGCCCAAACTCGTAAAATAGAGATTTCAGGGTTTAAGCCGATATCTATACGTCTTGGAAGATAACTCTAGTTGTGGTCTGCTTGTTGAGGCGGACTCGGTTGTTTGGGAGATAGATCTCGCTAAACACCCCATTGTAACTTCTATTTACAGTAAGTTTTAGTTGCAGCTGTAGCTAGTATAGGTTTGTGCGGCTAGGAATATCAGATGTTGGCACCGTCACATTACCATACAGGGCTTTGTAATTGGATGTGGTCTGTCTCCCAGATAATTAATTGCCGCCTTTTTCTTATAAATTTTAGTTGTGGTTGGGGTTAGGCCTAGATTCAGGTTAGTAGAACGTAAAACTCAGGGCTTACTGCACAGTAATATAGTAGGCGACGGACAGCAAGTTTGTTGCTTTGGGCAGCTAGTAATATTCTTACACAAAAGAAGCAACAGAGGAGCATTAGCTTTGTAGTAGGTCCAACAGCCTTTATCACTTGTTCAGTGTAGTTTTGGTATGTGAACACTATGACATGCGGATTTCAAATAGTAGTAGGTGAATTAATATCTGTAAACCTATTATCTTATATAGTAGCTTTAGGTAAAGAAATCTAGCTGCCGTTTTTTAAGTAACGTACATTGGCCATAAATTAAAAGCTCTTTATTGCCTATATAGAGACTGTCGCAACGGGGCTCTTGATAACGCTCTATATTATATATTGTAATCGAGTATTTTACCAAGCTCAAAGTGATGTAAGAACGATGATTTCAATCTAGCTGCTCATTATGTCCATTGTACGATATCAACTCAAGTTAGAGGTTGTCATGTTCAGAATAAACATATTAATTTATAGAGGGTATATTCAAGAAGTAATTTGATCTAGAAATTTGGCCAAAAATCAACCTGTTTCAATTCTCCGTGTAACCACTGTAATAAGAGCTAGGTACAAGTGAGAGGATAAGTTTGGCTAAAAAGACTACCAGACTTCACCGATAGTTGAATTAAAAAGGCTCGTTCTCTTAATTTAACTGCATAACTTAATTATACAACCTATTCTACGATTACTTTTTTTTAAATTTTGTCTAGTTCATATCTGAAGTGCTTTATTAATTTAGTAAAAAGAAGTATTAAATAAATCTAAACGATACTTAGTAAGATTTCCTTGAATAGACTTATTATTTCATACAAATCTTAATAGTTCGCTTTGATAAAAAACTAATTTAAACTAATTCAAACTTATTCAAACTTATTAATCTTCTAACCATCCAGGTTTTACCACTAAGAACAATACTTAGTAATTCTCGCTTACTAGTTTAGAAGATACTTCTAATAACTATAGAATCAGCGATCTTAGAGCTTCCTTGTATATCTAGGTTATCTAAAAAGTAACAGGGCATTAGTTATTATTTGTTTCCGTTCTATATGTTAATAGACTATCTTTTACCACAGATGATTTCTTGGAAACTCTAGGTAGGACCTTAATTTCGTAAGCTGCCTGTTGCTGTGCCATTTAGTTATTAAGGGCTGAGCTTGTAACAACGCACCTGGGTCTGGGTTCTAGCTCTAACTGTAGAACATACTGGTGGCCCAGATTTGATCGCTTAGGTCACCTAGGGAGAAAGAACATTGGGGCCGTTTCCTTGAAAAGATATAGTATTTTCAGCTTAAAATACCATATCAGAGTACGAATTTCGCATGATTACCTGCTCTATGGCATCTCTTTGATATTGATTGACCTCACGAACCAGGAAGTCTAAGCGAAACTTTTGCAAAAAGCCGTTTCTAATAACCAGGATATTTCCACAGGTTTGCCTTTGGGATTACAAGCACCGAGAAGTGAAATGAAACAATGAACATCTAGAATTTTAAAAGGAAATGAAGGCAGCAGAAAGAATGGGCTTTCGGTAGGAAAACGCTCTTGTTACAAGTCAGTAATACAATAATGTGGTTCCCAGCGAAGTGACTTTGACGCTCAACCCCCTAAATTAGCCTTACAGTCACTCGATATCATCGGAGGTGATTCTGTGCCCTCGACGCTCATCAGTCATTGTCTCCTACGGAAGCAACCCATGAGTAGTTCTACGATCAGGCAGAATGGGCGCCTATCCCCATTTTTGATTAAGATGCAAAATGCTCGCCCGAGCTTAGAGGGAACAATAAACAAGCAGGCACAGAAAGAAACAAAAATTGGAATCTGACAAGCGCATTAAAATATCCTCCAATAATACGTCCCTTGATTCAAATACAAGAAATCTTTTCAAAGTATCAACTCCGAGTTTGTCACCTTTTTCAAAGGCAATCAGTACTATCTCAACCCTTTTCAGGATTCTCGCCGGACCCGACATTTTGCGTAAGCGCCCGAACCCATGGAAAAATCACATGAGAATCGCGTAACACATCAAGTTCAAACTCAAATCAAACGACGCCACAGATGTACATATGCGGGAGCAACCAAAGATCGCAACTATCTCATACACCTGAATTAAGCGCTTTCCGGCCCGAAAAGCGACCAAGTCAATCCGTCATTTGGAAGCGTTGTGTGCTCCCATCCAAGTTTGGATTAGTTGATACCTGCCCTTGAAGCGCCTGCGGACCCCTCAATGACCTCACATCACGATGCATCTGCGGCCTGCGATTCCTGCTTCTTGCATACTTCTACCTTCTAGTCTCAGGTACGAGTAAGGGGTACAGTAGTGTGGTGTGGGGAATGATTTTAGCGTTCTGGACCCCAAAACACACCCGGGAGTTCATTCAGTTATCTTCGTAACGCTCTTGCATTAGAAAGGGGTGTTTCTTTACTTTGACCACCGAGTTCGAGGTGGTATGTTAGTGATAGCTTCATTACACCACATTTTCTGATTTATGCGCCGTCCATCGTGTGTGCTGGAATGCCTGCAAACACGAGGTTACTTATGCACACCGCATTTTTGACCCGACAGATTGTCTTACAGTACCACCGAGGAAAAGCTTGAAAGTAAGGTTAGAGGCTGTACGACCAACAAAAGGAAACTGTATTTTAAAGTTCTTTTTTGTATCTGCGGCCTATTACGTTTTCTACGTTTTTCCGGCCTATCGTTTCGTTCTATTCGTCGCGTTCAGGCGTAATATCTCCAAATGATAAGAGAAAGCAAGTCAAGATTTACCGGCCTTATGGAAGCCCTATACTCTTGTTATGATACTGAGAATCTAGAAGCAGCCACAATCGTATTTTCCCTTTTGGGTGGCGCTAAGTCAAATCACAATGCCTCCTATCAACGGCTGTCGGATTTCTTCCAGCGAATGGGGCGGGGTTTCTTCCCGTCGCCAATGGACCCGCTGATCGTATTACCCCTTAGGTGATATGCAGTGCAACCCGTTTCTGAGAAGACTCGGAGAGGCCAGAGGATTCCGGGGGGCCGTTGGTTCTGTATAAGTCTGGATGCACGTCTTTGCCTCGTCGGATTCTGACAAGCCTAACAAGGGAAGTTGTCAAGTTGAGTGTTGTTTGAATAGAAGAAGGTAAAAAACCCGTCAAACCCGGTGAGGTGTCTCGATAGGGAATGGTTGTCGCTTGAGTGGAGAAGCTTAAGTTGTCCTCCGGGCTGAACCGTGCCAATGAGAAACTGCGCACGGTCGTGGTAGCGAACCTGACTGTTCGAAGCTGTGGGGAAGAAAGACTGCATAACAGAGGCAGATCTTTTCGATCTCGCCGTGCCGTCACCGCTGAAAACTCACAACTCGGTTCTTGGTCTCGCTTGGGATCGCACTCAGGCATGGGACTCGGCAACTGCGAAGTATATCAAGATCTGACGACAAGATGTAGAAGCTGCACAGAACCAGTGTGGCTACAAGTACCAAGCAGTCCGTACCCCAGCTGCATTGTTCACGATCGCCACCGACGATAGAGTGGTGGCTACTATAGCATCACATCACCCCGAAAAGCTGGCTCATAGGCAAGCGAACTGCCAGATTGGGCGGTTGTCATCCATTTGAATCACGAAATGCCCTCTCGGATAGTCCCCCAGGGCCTCCCAGGAGCAGAGAGAGGGAAGGCTGGTGGAAGGAAATTCCGGTGGGTTCAGTGGAGAAGGATAGGTGACGGAGTGATGCCTTGGGGTCCAGGGCGGCCTCTTTACAGGCTGCTTCTGCCATGGGGTCATTATCACATCTCGATGGCGCAGTGATAGCTCTGCACCCAAACCGTATTTTGAACCCTGGGAATACCAATCAACCCCCGCAACGTTCTGTTATGTAGTTCCTGGATGTTGGTCTCGCACACTGCACACCACCACACACTATGGACTGGTGCAAAGCACACAACACATGCTCGCATCCTTACAAAAGCCTCTTTCTGCATGTGGCAGGGTACCTGGCATCACACAATGCACCTTGTCCAGCAACCGTGTGTGTTTCCCTCGGCTGTCCTCTCACCCTGTCTTCCCCCTCGAGTCTGCCGTTCTGCCAAGCGGACATGCGGAGAAAAGACGATAAGTGCCCACTACGCATCCATCACATTAAACAACGGAGTGGCGCCCCAATTGTCATGTTTGAAGGATCTTGATAACCAAGAAAATACCGAGATATTGAGAGGCCAAATCGAAGAGCAAAATCTTGTTTGTAGAATCTTGCCGGCCAAGATTCCAGTGCATCAAACCCGCACCCTCGCCAACCTCTCCATCCCACTCTGATCTGAGCTTACCTCTCAAGACCTCTCTCGCCACCCTTCATCAGGTATATCTAAATACGGCCCTCAAATATGCGCCCATTATCCGTGGCGGCGCCGACGCTTGCTATTATCACCACTTTTGCCTCCTCGGTTGGTGCCCTTCAATCTCTTGGGAACTCGCCATGTGCAACGCAGTGCGGAAATATTTTGAGTAGTACGTCAGGATTCGATATAGAGTGCCAGGACGCCAGATACTACGTGACACCAGGTTCAATATTTCAGGCCTGCGTTTCTTGTCAATTAGCGTCTAAGTATGTGGATCCGCAAACAAAACAAACAGATTTGCAATGGGGGTTATGTAAGTTGCCTGTCTGTTCAATAAATCCAGTTTAAGAGCTGATGATGGCCTTTACAGATAATTTGAGATATGCCGTGAGTTGGTGCTTATTTGGCTACCCAAATAACAATCATACAGATAGTACGCCGTGTACAACAAGGTATGTTTTTCAAGCTTCGGTTCTCATCAACTCGGCTGAATAACTCCCAGTTTCTCCTGTGGGTTAGTGCAAAGTGGTTTCGAGTTCGACTCACTCAATCCTGCTTCTTCACAATATGGATATTGCACACAATATCATCCCAATGATGTTCTGTCTTGCAATAATTGCCTCAAACTGCAACAAGGAAAATTCTATCTTAACAATTGTAAGCTTTACCATGCTCCATGTGATGCTTGTCTATTTTCAGCTTAACTTTACTAACGAGAAGTCTAGTTGCAACGGCTCTAGATGCAGCTTGTCAACAGCAGCCCGCTCCCGGACAAACAATTTCAGTTGAAGGGAACGTATTCTCAGATATAAAACTAAACATCAGTACTCCAAAACCCGATGACGGAGGCACCTACTCCCCAATGGGCGGACTTTCCGTCGGAGCAAAGGCAGGTATCGCAGTGGCAGCCCTCATAGTTCTATTAGCCATTACAGGCTTCTGCATTATTTGGAAAGGACGTCGACGCCGTCGTCGCATATTGCAGCAAAGACAACGGGAAAGCGGTTACGCAGACTGGAGAACGCACCATAATTTCGAACAAGCAGAAGTTCATGGTGGAAGCGGGCCTGGCGATGCACAAATGCAAGATGGCAGTTCAAGCGCAGGTGGATTCTTCGATTCTCCGGCGAGTACGAGACCCTTAGTGAATTCAAGGCCATGGGCACCTGCGAATCGAGAGGAAGAAAGCCCTCTGAGTGCCGTGGGAGAGAAAGCTTACTTCAGCCCTTATTCAAGTCACTACTCAAGTCCTGTATCGCCCGAACAACAGATGGCTATGGGGACTTGGTCGCCAGATCGAAAGGGGAGTGTAGGGTTTGGTAGGAGCCAGACTCGGAATGTCGACAATATCGAGAGGGTGGAGAGGGAACCAGATGGTGACAGAATCGAGATGCAGAATGTCGCGCCAGTCCTCCTTCACCCCGGAAACGGACGAGGAAAACCGGCTGGACCACACCCAGAAGAACCAAGAAACTTTTAGTTTTCTTGGTATCGAAAGCTTTCCTCACTGCGGTTCATTTACGTGTTGCATCTATTTGCGGCTTATTCGGACGATCATTTGACTATGGGATTTCTATTTGTTCTCAAAGGAGAATTGGGAAGGAGTAAAGGAGGGGCTGTAAGTCAATTTGGTTTGGCGACCTGGGTAGAACATGTGGGATTATTTGGCTGTGCATTTTGTTTGTTTATGTTCTTTTTGGATACCCGGACGATGAAGGATCTCATCCTGTTTTTGCTTTCATTTTGGCTTATTGCGGATCGCTATTGTTTCAACGACTTAATTAGATACAGAAGAGAAGAAGAGGGACAGCAAAAGCTGGGGGCTGGATTTAGGCAGGAGGCTGTGGTAGTAACGAGTATTATATGTATGACCAATTTGCACATATATTTTTGTTCCAACAATCATATTTCTTACAACGTTATGGAAGAACTCCATCGCAATGTGAACGTTCAAACTCATAACATTACATCCGTCGGTAGAACTCCAACCCCATCGCTGAAGGTATCACAAAGAGCCTCATCAATCACCTACTTTCTGCACGCGGCACGATACTTACCAGACGCATTCGGCAAAGCCGAGTTCCGAAGGTAAGCTGTGAGATTTTGCCCGATGCTGTGCATATTGGGTGGGTGTGTGAGGGAGGATCGCGACTGGTGTACTGTAAATGAAATGCGATAGGGAGTGGGTCAATGCCAACAGTGCTCTTGGGCGTGGGTTTCTTGTACGAGGGGGGTTAGGAGCTGAGGTTCCAACATAGGGGCTTCGGTACCGGATGACTCGAGGAGGATGTTACGTTGATTTAGGGGGAAGATGATTATCGAGTGGTTGGGTTCTATCTAGTAGAGGATAGAAGGATGAAGTTTGTGAGCTGATGACGGTGCAGAACTAGCGCTTTTGTTTCTTTGTGCTAGTTAACTATGGAAAGATGTGGGTCTTGTGGCTATGTTGCTTTAGTTCTGAACGTGATTGCAAGGTTCCTACAGTATTAGTATACTATGACAGAACAAACCTGCTTGATCCCTTGTAATAAGTCTTCATGAGCGAAGTATTCAATTATACATACGAGAAGTCTCTTCTCCAACAGCGACTGGACTAAAAGACGACCCAAAAGTCATACTTAGGAGCTCAACAAGGACTTGATCATTGGCTGTCCAATCCATACTATACTGCCTCGTGAAAGTCTTACGAACAGAATGCCTAGCCTAGAACAATCTCCCGACAATTAACGAACCTGCATCTCGCGTCTCGAACCCGATTCAGACCCCCGTCCGAACCACAACGCTGGTAAAATCCATGCATATTGTGTTATCTCTCCTCACGATCGCTCGCGAATCCATGTTCACATTGCAAAATGGTCTGGTTTCGTCGAGCTACATATTAGGTGTAGTAATTGCAGAAAGTACAGAAGAATAAACGGAATCAGCATTTAGAGAAGCGGAATGAGTCCCGGGTCCTTGCAGTCGCGTGCGAATCGTCCCGTCCCGCTTCTCTCCGCTATTTGTGTTTTGTGGCTTGGTTTTGGGGTCTATCTTTGACAATACGAGAAAGTAAACGATCAGGAACGAAAGCTGCAGTAACCAGCGTTGGTATTTTCAATTTTTGAAAAAGATTTCGGGCGGTGACCTAGACGCTTCTACAAGAATGACCCAAGGAAATGGCGTATATACGAGTTGGATTCGTTAATCGTTACCCGCTCGCCTATTTTTGTTATGATACGAACGTTCTTTATAACTACAGTACGGTATTAATTGATAGACTATATTGTAAAGTTCTGCCTCATTCGCTTAAATCCAAGAAATAAATTCGGCTATTTTACTTGGTTCTTAGGTATACTAAATCTCCTTTATTACACGAAATTATTTCTTCGAATCTCCTCAGATGGCGCAGAAAATCTACTTTCTATTATCAATCAAGACTGCATATTAAAAGACTGACTATATGAGAACATACATAAGAAGCAAGTACCTGCTAGCACCGCTCGGTCTAGTCAACTATAAGGCTCGACGAACTTTCCTTAATATCAATTCTGATAGAACTAGACTTAACCTGTGGGAAAGGATGACTATCAAGCTTCGGAATAGATGGATATAATAGTACGCTAATCCTATACGAGGAACAATTTATTCTAATCTTTCATCTATAGTAGGTAAAGGTCTCGAATAAGGGCAGAGTCAATTTAACAACCGAGAAAATATTGAAGAAGATTCAAAGCAAATTATCTCTGATTTATATACTTCAACTTTTTCTTTATAGATGCTAAGAGATTACAGTTACACGGATGATTTTACGCGCATATATGTGCATAGGTTAAACTTGTATTTTATTCGTTAGCCTCTCTTAAATGTGTTGAGAGCGGGGAGAGCAGAGACATGACAAGAGAAAATTGATAAATCACGACTAACAGAGGGTATAAGACAGATTATATGAGCATAGTTAGGCGAAATATCCCAAGTGAATCCTTACCTGCTCTTTGAATCTGCTTTCAACGGTCTAACAAACAAGAAGTGCATTAAAGCATTACACCTGGCAGCACAAATACTGCAATATTATATTCTAGGATACCTACGAGTATCCCTTGACTCCAAGTTAGAGTCTACTACCTTCCTAAGGAAACTAGAAGGTAAGCTCTCAAAAGTCACCGCGCCCTAGATATCTTGAAGGTAGTTTACGACTTCAAACTCACAGATATATGCATGGATGTCTATGTGAAATAGATTGGACTCTTGGAATCTTGGAAAGTTAAGAAAGAGAATGGGGAGATAGCCACATGGCTCATGGAGTACAGCAAGTGGGAAACTATATTGTTTATTACCATGAATTACGATTAAGTCTATTTCCAATACATCCATGTTCAAGAGGAATTAAATCGTTTGAAAATAATCATTAACTCAGGAATAAAATTCATGATGGACTCGTAGGTCTGTTTCACAGCAAAAACTTGAGGATGAGTATAAAGAGGTTAATAGCCACTGGCAAGAGCCTTTTTTTGATCGACCGTTTGGTTTAAATCATGTTCAATGAATAGTTGGCCAAAGAGAACAACTTAATTCGTATTCGAAACTTGTGGTTTGCCAGAAAGACACTACAGTTGTATTAACTGTATTCCAGCATTAGAAAGCATCGTTCTACATATTCAAAGCTACACAGGAAATCGGTAAGAATTCCACTTCCCTTGTATCATCATTTCGCCCATTTATTTCCAGAGTAGGTGATCATTTTTGTGTCAAACCTCCTTCCCCAAAAAGTAGAATAGGCATATCGCTCCCAAACAAAAGGCCATGGGTTAAAAACGCCACATCATTACTCAGAACTGCAAGACATCAAGCCATCGATGACAAACCAAACTACCGAGTCAAAAGCCCCGCAAACGAAATTGGTAAATCTCTAATGGCTCAAGTACACCCAACCCCCCTTGATATATGCACATCAGCTTGTCTAACCGAGTAATAGTCGGCATTTCAGTCCTCTCCGCGATGTGGTAGTACAAGAAATGATAAGAGCACAAGAAATGGTAAGAACTTGGTGTGTTCTCCTATCCTACAAGGATATATCTGTGCAATTCGTACAATGATTTGGAGAACTTAAAGAAGTGTAAGTGTATGCAGTCAGATCGGCAACAGCCTTAATCTGGGGAAGCGAAAGTTTCTCTGCTATGCGTACACAGCTGGACGAATAGAAATTGGAACCCTACGGAAGTGCCGGGAATACCGGAGCTGACAAGAATATTATCGGTGACGGGGAAGGACTAGAAATCTGATCTGCAAGAACCCAGTTTACTTGTCCTACCCTCTTTCGGGTGGTCGGCGACTTGAGATATCATCAGGCTCGAAGAGGGATGGAGTTGGTTGTTCTTGTGATACTGAATCGGCGACACGTACGGCGGCTGGATGAATTTGACAGCCGGGAATAATTAGGTTCTGCTGTGCTATACGGACGTCTAGGATTTTCTATGAAACACCAACACCAAGTTCGACATGGAAAGATATTGGGTGGCGGCTTTCAAGAGGTTCTGAGTTTTACCGAAGCCGTGGGGGAGGCATTTCCTGGCGTAACACCAAACTCCTACAGTACAGCATGTAAATGCCGTCAGCCTATCCCTCAACAAACCCAGGATCAGAGAAGCATTTCACCTGCAGCAAATCAAGAGCCAAACACCAAGAAACTGAAAAATGCTAGGAAAGCAAGTCAGAAAAACTCACGCATTCATTTATCACGAAGGACAAACGGACGGAACAACGGCACCGCACAATACCACCCCTGCCGCCACCAATATACCCAATTTTCAGCTCCCTTTCCTGTTCCCCACTTCAGATGGATTTTCCATGACAATCGTACCATCGGTTTCTTATCACAGCCGCCACCAACATCTCTTTTTGTGGCTTAATAGCCTGTCATGTGAATGCAGGTAAGTGCCATGGGGGAGCCGGTGAGGTGGTCCCACGGCATCTCTCTTGATAGAAGACTTATTCTCAGCCTATCAATTTACTTGCAGGTATTATTTAACGGTTGAGGAACTGGGACTGTACGGTGGTGAGGCGTGAAGATCGACGATTCTTGGAAACTCTCGTGAGGCTCAATATATATGTATGCGAGAGACAAGTTGAAGAGACGTCAGACAGATAGGGATAGAGGTGACAAGAACGCACACCTGGAATAATATGAAAGCAAATTGAATTGCTATATTGAAGCAAAGCTAATATATCCATGTACCCCGATATAATCCTCTAACACTCGATATCCAGAAAACTATCCATACGCCGCCACCTTGTAAGTGTAAACCAGACCATAACCTGACGCCCAAACCAAAATTAAAGCCGCCTTGTCTCATTCAAATTGTCAACCAAGCCCTCGTATGCGAAAAGGAAAAATAATAATAACCAAACACTCCTGGGTATATTCTCTCTTCTTCTTCTCATGCAACACATTACCATAATTTGTTATTCATATCACTTCCGGCACTGTCCGGGCTCCGGTCTTTCTTCTTCTTACCGCGTTTTCCTCTCTTCTCAATCGGTGCAATGACTTCACCACGAGCTTCCCTCTCTCTCCTTTCCCTCTCGGCAAGCTCAAAATCATTTCTTCTGTCTTGTCCAACACTAGGACTTGCAATATCATTTCCTCTGGAGGTATTCAGAGTTGAGAGTGGAGGAGGTTGACGAGGTGATATACGGGAGTGTGGTGAAGAAAGAGGTGTTCTAAGAACAGACCTCGGATTGGTTGGAGTCATGAGGTGTGAAGGGTATTCGGGACTCGACTTAGCAGAAGAATGTGGAGAGATTGAAAAGTGTGTTGAATGAGTTCCGGTGGGTGATGGAGGAATATAAGCTTGATGGGTCGGAATTTGAGACGGGGGCGAGTAGAGTGGTAGTTGAATTTGCTGTGCATGCTCGGTTTTCTTTCGCCAGTGTTGTTCGTCTTTTATCTCATTTAGATCTCTTGAGCGTGAGGGAATATGCATGGGAGCAACGTTGAGTGGCGGGCTGGTAGAATATGGATTGCCATAGGCTCCTGAATTTGGGGAGGTGATGTTTGACGCGCCGAATCTTGAATCAAACCCCGAGTTGAGACCTCTTAATGTTTTCGGTGAGCGACGATTGCGACAATATAAATAAGAAATGAGAATGACGGCAACTAGCAGAGCCCCAAGCCCAACTGCAATTCCAACGATTGCGCCAGTTGACAGCCCCTTCTTGGAAGCAGGTTTCTCCTCTTTGAGGAATGGGTTATCGCCAGTAAAGGTTGCATTGACTGCTTTCGTTGTAAAGACTGTACTATCTAGACCGAGCGTCATACCGGGATTGGGACGTTGTGTGCATCCTCCTTTAAGTGCCCTCAGGACTGTTGCAAAATTCTTTAGAATTCCTCTACTCAAATAGGACGGACATTGTAACTTACAATTGGAGAGATATACTTCCGTCTTGCCACTCTGGAGGCATTGTTCGCATTTTTGTAGTGTAGTTCCCATCATGGAATTGCTGTCTGCGTTACAAAATGTGTATGGGTTTTCATCCGGATCCAGATTGGAATGTTCGATGGCTCCCTGAAGCGGCACACATGATGTTGATGTTGAGCATGGTGAAGAAACAGCGTCAGAATTATTTCGAAACCCAAATAAACATGTGCCCAATGCGAAGCGCATGTTGTCTAGAATTTGAAAAGTCAGTAGGCATTGCTTCATGTGATTTTGGAGTCCTTACACATGAACCATTTGACATCGTTTCCTCCATTCTCAGACACTGTGCTATTCTGCAAGCAGTTCAAGCACGATTTGAACTTCTGGCCCGTGGAGGTTTCATTGAAGGACTTGTCTTGACATACTATCTCATCTCCCAAAGTACTTGAAGAGACAGGATCGGAAACATCTGTTCCCTCAAGGCATATATGGGCACAAGGCGAGCCCTCACTGACCTTCAATCCCAAGACACCCGTACCCAGTAGAACTGTAAAAGCAACTGAGATTTGAGACTTCATCATTATAATGATGCTTTAGCTTGTGGCGTATTGTCGAAATCTTGAGAGGATTGCCAGATCCTTTGACAACGAGTATATCTTTCGCCGTGGATGATTTTGAATTCAAGCAACGCAGGTTTCTTGAATAAGGTGGCATTCAAGAAAGCTTTACGTACTTATAAAACAAGATAAAGGATATTGTCATGCCCATAATCTTAGGAATTTGACACAAGCATGTACATACCACTTACCACAGTCATTTTTGGGGGCTACGCACTTTATATGTGAAGGGACATGGCAAGGCTCAGAAGCTGCAGTTCCCAAGGCTCTCCTCGACAGGGAAACACCAGGGGAGCAAAGCAGAGTCAAGGTTGTCTGTTGGTCTTTTTAGGGTGTGTTCGGTTCAGCGAACGTTGTGGCAGGGACTCGGATTTCACTCCTCTCTCTACCACTCACACACTCCAACCATAGCCAAGTGACCGGGTAGTTTGCGTTAAACCAGAGCCTCGGGTTGACAAGCTGATATGCAGTTCTTCGAGTCAACGGCCAGCAGCCTGCAAGATGCTAGGGTAGGACATACTCGTCGCAGCAACCACGCGTGCGAGTCGCTCATGGATATCGAGGCTAGATACTTCTCGCGAGAGGTTGAGCCACTGCTAGTCCCTGTTCTTGGAAAAGACTGGTTCTTGTTCGTGGGAGAGACGGGAAAGAGAACCAAGATGCATGCAGTACGAGTACTATCTGGGAGCTGGCTGTTAAAACTGGGGGCAGAAAACAGTTGTTCGAGGCGTGATAGTGGGTATGGGGAGCTCAGTTGCGTTCTTCTCCACTCACAAGTTCATGCATACTACAAAAGGTGCTGGTGTTGTTGTTCCTGATGCTGAGCCCCCTTTTCCCTAGTGAGATTGATCACCATTATTGCGAGTGATGGTCATTGGCTCGGTGAGCAGCCCGTTAAGCGCTGGGACGTAACAGCTATTTAGCCTATTGTTGCGGATCCTATGAGGCCATCCCGTTCGTCTACACCACGTCGCAATCATCTGCTGATCACGAGTTGAGGGTGTCTTCATATATTATACGGAGAGTGTACCATACAACTTTCCTGTTGTCTATAGTCTGTAGTCTGTGGTCTGCTTGCCGACTTAGAGAGAGCAATATCGTGATGTGTACTCCGTATGTTGGAGGCTGAGAATTAAAGTACATGTAAGATCTTGCAAATCGGGATACACTTCCTGAGCAGATAAGGTCCTCCCATTGCATTTCCTTGTTTTTCCATGTAACTGTAACCCCAATTGCAGATACTGCCTAGGCTAGCCAGCTTAGGCGCTGCATACGCCGCGGATGCGCTTATCGTCTCCGCTGCCTACCCGGTACCTACCTAGCCTAGGTACCCCTCACTGGTGACTGTTAACTGCCAGTCGATCAGTACCAGTATCAGACCTCCAGTTGCTTGTCATGGCTCATCTGAACGGGTGTCGCCCCAAAAGAAGTTTTGCCGAAGTCATGGCGTGGCGTAGCGTAGTAATCCAACTTGTCGGGTCCACACAGGTAAGGGCTACTCGTACGATACTCCAGTTTTCCATAGGGTTGAACTGTTTCCAACAAACATGATAGGCTATGGCACCACCAAGTGACCAAGGTTCGAGATTCCCTACAGTAGCACGCAACTGCTGTAGGACAATTGGAACCTTAACACCATACAACGTGGGCAGTGAACGTGGGGGGCCGGTGATTATTCCAACTCCAACAATCAACATGACCCCGATGGGCAGGAGCTTCTCGATCACTTTTCTCTAGGAAGGTGTGTACGTTTTATGACTCCGTCACGTTTTCGAGAAAGAGAAAGCTGGAGGTACCCATCTCCTCCCCCCTACCTCCCCTCGCGCATGGACCTCAGGAGTCACCCGACAGCCGAGGAGGGGTAAATATTATATCACGTGACACAATAACATACTCCAGACTATGTGCAGACGCAGGTGTCTTTTTTGGTGACCAAATCGGGTCCTAATTCTTGATGCGTAGTAGTTATTTAGTCTTCAAAATACCCATACCTTTTCTGGATCTTTCAGTTGAATGGCTTTGGCGTTGCGGGCTCTGTCGCTTTTTCACTTAGCGAGAAATAAATACCTGGCTCTCGGTTTCAACTACAGACCTAGTAGTCTACACCGACGGCTCTCGCTTAGACGACAAGAGAACCGGGGGAGGCGTTTGTCTTACAAAGGGAGGAATTATCCTTAACACAAAGGTCTACTCCTTTGGCAAGACACTTGAAATCTACGACGCAGAGGCTAGAGCTGCTCTACATGGCCTAGAACTAGCTATTTCCTCTACTTCCTGGCCCTCGGCAGGGACGTGCTGGATTTGCCTTGACAATCTTGAAGCTACACTTCAACTGACCTACCGGTCCTGTGGCACCTCGCAAGGGACCTTTAATAGAGTTAACGAGTTAGCTCTTTTATACCCTGGGAAAGTTCAAACCAGGTGGTGCCCTAGTCACATTGGAATTCAAGGGAATGAGATTGCGGACAGAGCTGCGGGAAGAGGCGCTCGGCTACCTCCTCCTGACCCCCCTTCTATACTCTGCACTGCTACACTTAGAAGAGAAGTTAAAGAGACAGGGGTTCAGCTTGCAAAGAAACTCTGGAAAACCACGCTTCCAAGCTTATACAAGGACCTAGGGCTTAACAACTGGTCTTCGAAGCCTCAATCACTTCGCTTACCAAGGGAGGTTCTTGCTCGCTTAATTGCAGCTCGCTCTGGCCACGGTGACTTTACTCTTTATCACCTTCGCTTCTTTCACCTCGACACGCTACTTACTTCAGGGGAGTGTAAGTGTGGAAGAGAAAAGACTCAATTTCACCTACTATTTTGCCGGCTAGCAAATAGAGTAGCCCCTGAGCTATTTGCAAAGGCTCAGAGGAACCCTCAACTCCTCTTCGGACCACAATGCGAGGAACTGTTTCACAAGATCTACTATAAGACAAAGTTCTACTCTAGGATCTGTCCTCCTAGATAGTCCTCTTCTTCCTTACACTATATCTCCTCTTTCTACTGTTCTTTGGTCTCTGTCTTATATAGTTCTTCTCTTGTTCTCTACTCACTATCTTGTACACTGTTAACTTGTTTTTACTCTAGCTCTTAAACTAACTCAGAACGAGAGCTGTTCCGGAAGTGGGGCTTCTCTTTAAACTATCTCTTGTAAATTAGCGCACTTTCATTTACACCCCCTGTAGCCTAGGGCACCCCCCTAGCGTCATTTGCCCAACAATGGGACTTTTAGGACCTAGCCCACGCGAGTTAGATTCCGCCTGACGTTAAATAGTAATAAATAAATAAATAAATAAGAATTGTATGTGAGAGTTATCGCTGCCTAGAAACCCAATACGCTCCCCAAGTCTTCCTCCTTTTCATAAAGTATGGATAAAATTGTGTGTCATACATTGACAAGCACTGATTGTAAAATGACTCTAGTAATTGTAACTTTGAACAGCGTGAAAAGGCTCTGTAGAATCCTACAACACCTAAAACCTCGGCTAAGGCGCGATTCAGCGATACTTTTTGCGGCTCCTGACATTGTGAGCTTGCGGGAAATTGACAAGGTCTTTCCTGACATGCTACATCGACCAACTTATCTTCGCTGCCATCAAGAAAAGGCACCAAGTGAAAAAGGAAAAGTTCTCGGGGGCGAAAACATTGAGGATATATACGAGCATCACATGTATAAGATTACGTCAGGTGACTACGACATGGACTTCAAGAAATCAGGTATACAAGATGTTCGGTACTCCGAAGTTTCGAGGATACTTGTAGGCGAGCCTGTTGGCCTCGGCAATTCATACGACTCTGGTCAATATCCGCCGGATGCATTCTCTGCTAGATATCTACGCGAGGAATTATACCAGACAAATCTCAACATCAAACTGGTAACAGATAGGGAAGTCACGTTCCGCAAACTTGGGAAACTAGCCATTGCCTCAATAACTCAGCCCCTCTCAGTTATATTCGATTGTGTAGGCCCGGAAATTGTGAATTCGATTGACCGGATGAAAGTTGTGCGTCGTTTATTGCAAGAGACAGTCAATGTTCTGAGCAAGTACGACGAAAGATTCACGCCATCGTTACTCACAAGGTACCGGATGACACTTCTGGAGAGTCACAGCGGCGGTCCAAGTAAGATGCAGGTTAAAATTAAACTTAATGAATCTCATGACATAGATGGCCTGAACGGAATGATTGTCGAGTTCGGAAGATGGACTAATTTAGGCTGTCCGTTGCATGAAGAGGTGATAAGGCTGGTGAAAGAGAAGGCAATTAGTCAGGCCAGTGCAAGGACAGCTGATATCATGAGACGAAAACAGGAGCAAAAACTGCGTTGGGAGCAAAACTTGCCGCATAATCGCAAAAGAAACCTAAGTGGCGGGAGAGAAGGACAGTCTGTGGAAGAATATGAAGAGACATGGAAGTCTACCAAGCAGAGGCACAATCCACCCAAATCAAACAGCAAATCGCTAAGACATATTCCCAATGTAAAGCCTTTTGACAAGCCATTCATCATGCCTCTCGGGTCCCGCCAGCTTGCTTCCCCAGCGGAACGGAGAGCAGCACTCGAGGTGACTGAGTAGGAAGATCAGGGTCATCGACGACAAGTCATTATATCTGGCTGGGTTCATCTGATACACTGGTCCCTGGCTTACACTGGTCCCTGGCTTTTGTAACTTTCAGCGAGCGTAACGTACTGGACATGTTCGAGTCAACTATTGGAACCTTACTTGAGGAAGGCAGGATTCTCAGAGGAAATTTGAAGGCATGTATCATTGGAATTTCGGGTCTTTTGGTGGACTCAGATCTTCCTTCTATGACTTCAAGGCGGCATGGTCACTGCAGATGAGATCTTTTGGAATCAAGCGCCAATACCTTCGGAAGTGCTTATGCACTGGAGGCAGAAAAGCGGTGCCTTCTCTCGCTATCCTCTCCATGATCTTGGCCTTGAGTAGTGCAACGATGACAGGCCTACCTACGCCAGGTTGAGAGGCGAGGGACCAATTGACCTCATCTCTCTTGTGAGCAACCTGTTAGCACTCTCTTCGTTGTTAGATATACTTCTCATGTGGAAAAGGCGTACGTCACATAATACGCCCCATCCACCTGGGCAGTTCAACCAGTTTTAAAAGGGGTTGCCCGAATCAGCCTGCATGTAGCTTACGCGAAGTTTAGGACTCCGTGTTTTCAGGTTGGAATAAAGTTCATCGATCGTCTTGCAACTGAAAACACTTCGTGATAGTTAACCCGAATCCATCTTTTGAATCTTCAGTGCTATCTTTCGTTTTCACGTTGCCTCTGCAAACCCGTCTTATATACACGCTCACGGAATACGGGGGAGGGAAGGGGTGAAATTTACGTAGCCTGTTGAAGAAAATGCAAGCTTTCTTGGCAGCGAATACACTCAGTTTATCAACAGTGTTTTCAAAGCGAATTTATGATATCAACTTTCTAACAGAAGCGGTATTTGACTGGTAAGACAACGCCTGTGGCCCATGTATACCCACTCCCCAAGCAAACCGGGGAGCCGAGCCTTAAGAAGGCTGAGTATATACCCTCTCGATACCCAAGTAAAATGGGAAGTCTAATTTTGGTACATGGAGGGGGACTTACGGCGTAGATACAAGCGATTCTGAGTTTACAATAACCTCTACGGCTGTAGAGTAACATGATCGGAGAGCCTCTCGAAAAGGGACAAAATACTCAAGAGTAAGAACATGAGTCACGCCATGCCGTTTTCAGGCCAATTTTCAAATATCCTTGTCAAAACGCCCATAAAAACATTTTCCAAACATAGCTCTCTGTGAGACGGTGACCAAACAACAGAGATACTGGAACCCAAAGTTCGCACACAATGGAAAACCCGATAGCTACCATAGATTCGTGGAAAAAGATATTCCATGCGTTCACTGTCTTCGGCAATCTCTGCGCACGTTTGGATCCACAATATCATTTGGCTCAACATTTGGGTTGAGGAAAATGGACAACGGGAATCATCTCTTCACTATCTGTCCAACAATAGAGTCAAAGTCAGTCTTGCCAAAAGTTGTGTGCTGAAAAATAATTATGCATGAAAAGATATTACTATGTGGGTTGGTGACCACTTCGGCAATCCGATGATGAGTTATCCAGCAGGTGATTTCTGGTCATACATCTCACAGAAGCCTTACAATTTGACAGATGAAGAGCTCTTAAAGATCACGCAGGATCAAAGACCATTTCCAATTCAGACTGAAGGCGGAACCTAACAATATGAGGCACACGTTGATAGACTTTAGCTAGTCCAGCTGCAGGGTGGACATTTTATGACGAAAAGATTCTTGAGTGGTATACGGACTATTGAAAGGGGGTACCTCAGAGGAGAAAGAAGCGACACGATCAAGAAAGCTGCAATTGAGCTGAAGATGACCTGAGGAACACGAGAAAGTTTTATACCATCAGTGGTAAGCGAGTATTTGAAGTCATAGATTCTTCAGCATTCTCTGCTTGTCATGCATTGGGGGTTTTGGAAAAGAACCTTACCTGGAGTATCAAAAGAAATACGAGTCTAACATAGTTCACCACGTATTCAAAAATCACATTACTTTGTGTACACCACCTAGTGAACAGGGCCGTTACTTATTTATAGTACTAACTTGTGGCGTGTTTTCCCAACTCGTTACATATGGAATTCTTGCTCTGGTATATTTTATCATCATTATCAGGATCGACCAATGCAATTATGACAACACTTAATGGGCTGTTATTGGCCAATCTTTTCCAAAATCACAAACAAGTTAGCTTGTTTGAAAACAAGCATTTACTTGACATCTCTTGGCTATCTCACATGACTTTGGTAGCTTATGTAGTCTATCTATACTAAGCATGTCAGAGGGCTTATTTCCAAGGAGGAGATGTCGTCTCATCGCATCGCATCTCATCCGTGCACGCAAACATCTCAGCAACTTCAGCCTCCTCTCTCCCCTGCGCTTGGCAGTGCTTCGCTTAAGCTTAGCGGGAGACCCTAGCCAGATATGAGGGGTAACAGAATCAAGATCTAAAAATAGTAAGGTCTTCACGACAGCAAATATCAGGTTACTCTTGCCTTTTGGAGCGGTTCCTATCCTCTAGTAGCTTTGTGGGAGCCGAAAGAGTGATAATCTGCTTCGCACCAGGCTTGAGGATGTCTCCATTTTTAGAAATCGTATACAGCGTCAGTGGTGGTGTCCCTCATTTTAGGTAACATGTTAAGCAGGATTAATGGGCTGACTTGTTCAATCATAATGTCCGAATTAATACCAGTTCTCCTAGTCTCATGTCTAGGTCAATTGAGTATGTGACTTCTACCTTGCACAGGATGTTAACATACACTCCCTTCTAATTGCCTCGGGCTGTAACCTCTCAGGAAGCCCAACCCTACTTCAAAACAGTTCACGCCATAATTCGCAACGTCCAATGAATTACAAAAACACATAGATAAGAACCCTTGGGTTACACCGTTTCTAAAGGACACGCTCGTCTAGAATTTCCCCCTCGAATAAACAGTACCAACATCCCTCAATTCTCATTCTTTGGGCGATAGAAGCTCCCTTTGTAGATTTTTTGGTTGCTGTTACCTTATCATTACCTGTCACTGACAGATAGGGTGGTTGAGATATTGTGTCTCCTACATGAGCAGTTTATTACATATTGGCGATGGTTTTCTTTTAGATAGATTTCGCATGAGCTCGCTTAAAATGGGTTATCGGAACGCTGCTTTACTCAGCTTTCTTGTGATGGTTACTGTACAAGTGTTTCAAAGGTTCATTCTGTGTATGTGTAGGGCTTAATTTCCGAACGACATTCTGGTGAATTGATACTCATGATCCGATCTGTGAGCATGTTTTCTAGTTCTTAGTAGCTATAACCGGCCCCCTCAATTTCCCCTTCAAACATAAAACAACATCACCATCCTGGAGAAGTTGTCCCACTACAAACCAAACACCATGGACGGCTTCAACCAGTACTCCACAATGGTTCCAACAATGGCTGCAACCCCCAAGTCGCAGCCCGAAGCTTCGCACTCGAACCTCGTTCCAAGGCCATGGAGGCGTTGAGTATCTATCCAATCTTCGAGAACGTCTGCAAGTACCTCGCACCTCGAGACATCTTCATGCTCAAGGCAACCGCGAAGACCTTTGCTCCTTTGATCGACTCTCTGTTCAGTGTCTCGTGGAACATCAATCGCTTCCTCTCACGATTCACAAGCAACCCGTGGGGGCTTCGCTCTATGATGGCTAGGTGAGTACACGTTCCATCCAAGCTGGGAAGCTTTCCCCCTCTTTGAAATATCCTATTCCCTCGGGTAATCTCAAGGGTTGTTCTGACTGGAATTCGACAGACATGACATGACGCCTTGATAGCCGAGAGTGCAGCTCTTCAATTCTTTGATAGGTCTGATTGGTAGAGAGCCCAACTTGACATCTACGTGAAGGAGAATAGAGTACAGAACACATGGAGCACGGGCGTGAAAGATATCAGAGAGATCTTCATCAGAGATGGCTACAGAGAGGTTATTGACAGATTTGGTGTAATAACAAGTTCCCATTCTTATCAAATTAGAGCACAGCTAACGCCAATCCAGCTTCAACGTGTTGAAACCTGGGTCCGACCAGATGCCCAAGGTCGCCAGCTGACAGTCCAAATCATGAGCAAATCATGCCATCCACTCACCGCGATTCTAGGCTGCCTCTACGTCTCATCCATGATGAACTTCATCACCTGGAACGCAGCATACTCCATCTTCCCCGACTCGCTCTTCACCAAGAACAAGAACTACCTCATGAACGGCGGCCCCACCGACACGGTTGATCGAGATATCTGTATCGAGTACACCCTCAACGGATTTCCTGTCACTCACCCCGAGCCCGGAGAATACGAGTCCACCCAATCCTTCCAAGACAACTTTCGACAACTCGGCGATGGCTTCACCTGGAAGATCAATCTGGACACCCAGAACGTCGAACCAGGCGCCCCAGCATCGGTCATTGAGAACACTCTCTTCCGATTGACCTTGATGGATGTGCGACCTAAGTTCCACGTCGTCCCGATTGACAATTTGAATTACAGTCTTCTTGTTGTGAAGCATGGTAAAAGACCTCCAATTGTCCTTGACAACGAGCCGTCCCCACCCTTTAGATACTTCTAAGCATATCAGTTCACAGTACAGTGCTGCAAAGCGAAATGTTCAAGTGGTACTTGTACAAAGTTGAACTTGAAGGAAAGAACGATTTGAAAAGAAGTGTCTCAGGAAGCGAGGATGCTGAGAGCACTGAACCAATACTAGCGAAGATGGCAGAAGACTTCTTTCCATGTACAGTACTTTAGTCACAACAAACACCCAGGACCACCCTGGCAAGGAAGTCAAATTGACAATGGAAGTTCATTCAAGCTCTCCTGAAGTTCTTGGGGTAATATCGTACCTACGTAGTAACTCTTGAACCAAAACAACTTGAACACCATAAACAATGTCAAACACACTTTGATGTCAGCCATAGTATAGCCAAAGCAATCCAAATTCCATCAATACAACGCCCATAACCCATTCCCTACCAATCAGTCCATTTATCGGAACACCTCATAACCCAAGAACCCAACATTGGACTCAGAACCCCCCTCCCCCTTCCCCCCATAAAAGTCAGTCTATTTCCTAGACTCGTCTTAACGATATTTCCCTCATACCTCTTATATCATCCTGCGACTCTCATACCGCGCTAGCTCAAAACCTCAAGCCACACTAACTCCCCAACTCCCACCCAAGCCAAAAAAAACCCCTCCACCATCCCCGTCATACCCAAGCCTCCCCCCCAAAATCCAAGCCACCCCCCAAGCCTCATCCTCTAACCCCATACTTGGCACCATCCATAAGTCCACAGTACCCTACATCGTATACCGAAATCCATACGCGTCCCCGATTGATCAACCGAACCCCCAAGCCCAAGCCCAAGCATAACATAACAAAACAGCACGGGCACGATCCCCCATCCCTTCCATCCCTTCCCAAAAATCCCAAAACCCAAAACCCCCACAACCAAAACCGAAAAAAAAAAGCCGCCACATCATACCCAGACACCCGATCTCGTATATCCAGGAACAACCTAGAACTAGAAAAACAATACATCACACCACATAACCCCAACCCCATCACATCACATCACATCATCCCCTATAAACCCCAGCCCAGCCCAGCCCAGCCCCTATCCCTTATCCCCAACTCGCTAATCAAACAAAGACCCAAGGGCTTAAACATACCAGCCAACACCCAAGCATTCCCCCTCCAAGTAAATAAAACGTCCCTCTGCCATAGAAAGGCCAAGCCAAGAAAACAGAGCAAAAGCAAAGCAAAAACAAAACCACCAGAAAGAAACGTCACAAAGTGTCTTCGCTAGAGACCTACTGTAGAGCGACGGAGAAAAGAAAAAAAAGAAGGGTCCAACGACGCCAAAAGTTTCAGATCCTTGGCAGATTCATGCGAGGGAGTTCAGACGAGGAGGGCGGGAGGGGAATAGGAACCTCAGGACTGTTCTGTAGAGAGTACGAGTACTTTACGGGTATGTAGTTATTACCGTGAATCCGAGTTGGAGACTTTGTCTCGTTTCGGGGGTTTAGATAGACTTTTCCATGGATAATGCGATGGTGTGGGTGACGAGGGCTTGTAGGGCTGAAGGGATGGATTTATGAGGAGTTATTGAGGGTGGTAGATTGGAGAGGAATTAAGGGATTCTTAAAAGTGTTGAATTATAAGGGATTACCGGGTGTAATTGATTAGAGAGCAGGGAAGTGATTTTGAACTTGTTTGAATTCTTTTTCTTTCTCGCCCAATTTATCTATTGGTGCGAAAAGTATTTGGCCTTCTAACTGATCAGAATATAATGATTCCTGTTGTAAAAGTCTCCTGGGAGAATTTGTACCCTCTACCCCATCCTCTATGCCGTAAACCCTTTTGACAGAGTAAAAAAAAGGGTCATCTAAATAGGAAGATAAAATCCCAAGCCTGCGGGAGCTGATTGGACCTTCATCGGCCGAATAATTAACAAATAAAACGATTGTGTATGTGTGTATGTGTGCAGGGTGGGTGATGGGAGAGATCCCTTATAGGGTAATATGTCTGTTGGTGGTGTTCGTGTATTTGGCCGGAAGTGTCGGAGATGGAGTAGAAGAATCAAAGATGACAATTTGATCTTCAAAGGTGTTATGAATGGCCGCTCGAAAAAGGATGTATGTGTGACTCCTTTGCACCATGCCATCAGAAGTTATCTCTCCCATCAACCCTTTCCCAAATATGATGCCCATGAGCGTGCCAGCTCGTACGCTGTAAAAGAAACCGAAACCAATACTCCGTAAGATGTTGTTTATGAAAAGCTGACGAATTTGGGGTCCCTAGGTAGTCCATCAGGCCCGATATTGTTCTTTGCAAATCGCCCTTCTGTGTATATCCGTCGTGCCTCGTCGAAGTTCACTCTTCGGTTCTTCATGATCCTTTGTATCTCTCTCTTGCTCGAGTCGTCTAGCCCAGCTCGAGCATCTCCGGAGGCAACATTACCGGACAGATCGAAGGCGTCGGAGGAGAAGCCCGACTCTATATCACCAGCAAAGGTGGTTGGAAGACGGGCGTAAAGGTATGAGGAGCCGGGAATCGTAGGCATCCTCGAGGTCCACCGGGAACGTGTCATGTAGGCGGCTGAAGACATTGGTAAGAATGGTTTATAAGAAAAGGAAAGGGGGTTAGTGTGGTTGTGAAGGAGTGCTAACCCGTTGAAAGGACGAGGAATACAAAAACGGTTGAGTAGAGGAGGTAGCCCATTTTGTACGAGCAGTCTAGTACGCTTGAATTGATGGACAGTGGGCGGGCGTCAAGAAGTGGTTCCGTCTCAGGAGTTGGAACTCAGTCCGTAGACGGGTACGTGCTTGGGACTTGCTGGGAGCGAGGATGGGGATGAGAACTTGGCATCTGATACGATACGAAGTGGCAGTAGAGAGGTTTAGGCAGTGGCGGTCGCAGTGACGATGCAATAAATGCAGGTGTTGTGTCATGGACGGTAGTGGTTAATGCGCGAGATGGGGGTTGGTTATGCTTCCAGGGCCGGGGCTGGACTCTGGAGCCGCGATGCGAGATGGCATGGCCCAGATGGCGCAGGAGCGAGGCTGTGAACGCGTGACGTGAACGGCAAGTGGGGGAGTGGACTGGCTTGAGACTGAGTGGGTGCAGGTGGACTTGGTACTGGGTGGAGTGCCCATTATTCAGCACTGCCCTTGGAGTCTGCATTCAGCACTGGCAAAAAACAACCAAATATAGGCACTCGAGTCCCCAGAACCTCTCACGCCATGAGGCCCGAGGGCTATCATTTACTCCAATCTGACCACTCACAAATGATACTCTACTCGAGTATACTTCTACTTCGTAAACATACGAGTAGAAGTATATTCTAAACGGGCAGGCCGTATGCGATAATGCATCACCAACGTATCAGTGTCCGTCCTCAAAGCGTACTCTGTATACTCCGTACGGCGTCGATGTAATTTTTCCGCGTTGACAGAAGACATCCAAGTTACCCCATGAAGATATGCCTAGATATACCCGGTAGCAGGGGTGAGAGAGGTATTTGTCTTTTGGACTCCAACGCTTCCAAACAACCAAATTATGCCGAAGACAGCAGAATATAAATTTCTTTGACTACCAGTATTTCCCATCCTCAGAATATTTAATTGGAATCTTCGGTCGCATAGATTGCGTTCATTTTACTGGAAGTTTACCAGGAAATGAAGATGAGCAGGAAATGAAGATGAGCAGACCTGCTGCGGCTCCAGCTTGGGCCACTCAGGCCACTCAGGCCACTCAGGCCACTGAAGGAAAGCTTGGACCATCTCGGACTCGGATCAACTGTTTTTCCTCCAAGCGAGCCCAAATCGGAACTCGACACATGATTGGCTGTGCAGCACACAGAACTTTTGAACAATTGCGATTTGACTCTCCCGCGGATTTCGAGATCTCGAGCTTCAGAAAGTCAGCCAACCCTCAACACATCACCGCCAAAATGTCATACCACTCCGAGCAAGTGTCCGCGGACTTGATTTGGGAGATCACCCGTACGTTCTTCCTTTTCCGACGGCAAATGAAGGCGAGAATTGAAGGCGGCGAGTCGGGGAGGAGGGAATGAAGGTCAAACTCGATCAAGATTCAAGGCTGACGAGACTCTGGATACGCAGGCAGCCAAAACTCTTTCCTCGTGCAGCGCGCTCAATCTGGAGGTGTTCGATTTTCCCGCGACCCTTTCAACCTTACTAACATCCACTCCCGCAAGGTACGCCACACAAATCGCAAAGTAAATAATCCTGGGGCTAACATTATCTACAGAATGCCGGTTTCGTCAACGACAAGGTATGAACCACTCGACCACAGACACGACCACTAGGAGGAGGAATACTGACCAAGTTTAGGCCGTCAGTATCGTTGAGGAGAAGGGTGACAAGAAGGGTCTTACTTTGATCACCAAGAAGGCCAAGTCCAACCAAAAGCCAGGCAGCTCTCTCCACAAGACCCCTCTCGGTGGAAACAAATCAACAAGAAAGTAGGTCGCATATGGGGGAGCTATCTTCGTTTGGGTCAGGATCTAATGTGCTACTTCAGGACCTACAAGACTATCGCCAGCAACATCGCCAAATCCGGATACCGATCTGATCTCCGTGCTGATGCCATTGCCCGCGCATCTGCCATCCGTCAATCACAAGTACCAAAGAAGGCCGCACCAGAGTCAAAACTTCGAGGAGCAAAGGCCAAAAAGGCCGCAGCGGAGAAGGACGAGTAAATATGAGGGGGTTGAAAGGAAATTGGTTTTGCTAGTCACGAATAGAGCTCGTTTTTTCGGAGTTCTGAGGCAATGGATCAATGAAATGATTCTGCGGGATATGATATGCAATTCCTTTGGTCTAATGAGATCTCAAGGAAGTGTTTTGCACAGTCGGGGCAGCAGTAGCTCTATAGACGGAAACTGAGCACCTCAAATCCAATCGCATCTGCTAAACATTTTCCCAAGCCGAATTGCGTCCTCTTCCGAGTTTAGACATGTGAAAACCAGACTAATATAGGTAGTTACCTATACATTATCGTCTTCCCGAGGCTGACAGCACGATGCCCGAGACAGCCGGCTCATGCTCCTCACCCTCTGGTTTGATTGATAATAAGTAACTTGACCTTCCTATATTCCAAGTTGGGTACTCGAAATATTCTATCATTCCATTATTTCACCACCAAGAGATCCACAAGTCCTACCTAGGTATTGTCGCAGGAGAGGTAGAAAAGTAGGTACGAGACAAGAAAGCTGCCAGGTAGCACTTCCCCTCCACTCGCAGCGCACCCTGATTGGCTCACTACGATCTTCCCCACCAATCTACCCCTCCTCCAAGAGACTGGGCACCAATCAGTGGACGTACTTCAACCACCATATCCTCCTCCACCTCCTGATTTCTTCCCCAACAATCTCATTCTGCTTCTTCCATCCATCGTGTCTAACTACAACTGCTATTCAGTATTCAGAATCAACCAAACCGGTACGAGTCCATCCTCTCCTCTTGATCCTCTCCTTTTCCCGCCACAGCTCAATGCAGGGTATCCTGATGCTTGTGTTACAGAAGTTAATCGCTCACCGAAACCACAATCATGGGAATCAAAGCCGGTGAGCTGCAATTCGACTATATGGAGCTAGAAAGAGCTCGGGTTGACCTTAATAGTTGTCGCTGGTGCCTCTGGAGGTATCGGGCAGGTGAGTTTCCTCAGTCTACGACGTTGCATGTTGGGCAAAGCAGCTAACAAATGATCGCAGCCATTGTCCCTCCTCCTCAAGACCTCCTCACTCATCACCGAACTGGCCTTGTATGATGTGGTTAACACTCCAGGTGTCGCTGCCGATCTCTCGCACATCTCCTCCCAAGCAGTGTGTATACATGAAAATGGGAAGGAAATACGGGGCTGATGTTGGTCATAGAAAATCACTGGCTACCTCCCCAAAGATGACGGAGCCAAGCTTGCTTTCAAAGATGCAGACATTGTTGTTATTCCTGCCGGCATTCCTCGTATGTATAGTATTTCTGGGAGGTCATTAAAATAATCAGACTAATTCTGTTTCACAGGCAAGCCAGGAATGACAAGAGACGATCTATTCAACATTAACGCCGGCATTGTCAAAGGCCTCATCGAGGTCATTGCTGAAGTTGCACCAAAGGCCTACATTCTGATCATCTCCAACCCCGTCAACTCGACCGTCCCAATTGCCGCTGAAGTGCTCAAGGCAAAGGGAGTCTTCGATGCTAAGCGTCTATTCGGTGTCACCACTCTTGATGTCGTTCGAGCTGAGACTTTCGTTGCTGAGATTGTAGGCGAGAAGAACCCACAAAGTCTGACTATCCCAGTTATTGGAGGTCATTCCGGAGAGACCATTGTTCCTCTGTTCAGCCAAGCCAAGCCTTCCGTAACCATTCCTGCAGATAAACTCGATGCTTTGGTTAACCGTGTTCAATTTGGTGGTGACGAAGTTGTCAAGGCGAAGGATGGAGCTGGATCTGCCACCCTTTCCATGGCATATGCTGGTTACCGGTAGGTTGAGGAACCCGTACCTGTGTACTCTACTGACGACGGAACAGAATGGCCGAGGCTGTGCTAAAGGCTCTTTCCGGCGAGAAAGGCATTGTTACTCCAACATTCATCCACCTTAAGGGTGTTCCAGGAGGTGATGAAATTGCAAAGGAGACTGGTCTCGAGTTCTTCTCCGTTCCTGTTGAGCTTGGTGTAAGTCCTGCGCCCTGTAGCTTAGATTTGGTTCTAACATCATGTAGACAACCGGTGCTGAGAAAGCCCAAAACCCTCTCACCAACATCAATGATGCTGAGAAGAAACTTCTCAAGGCTTGTGTTGACGGACTGAGCGGCAACATCACCAAAGGTGTTAACTTCGCCCACAACCCACCCCAAAAGTAGTTTCCCCCTTTTCCTACTTGCTTCACTTTTCCCTGCTGTCTTACTAGCCGGCATGTTAGCCATATTTCTGGAATTTATTGCAATCGGTTCCCTCACAGATCTGCTGTAGAACTAAAAAATGATGTAATTCTCTTCGTGATCTTCAACGGAATTTTCTTGCCGTTCCTTCTTGTAATCCGTCGGTAGAATTCAGTGACTGACCGATGGGGTTTCTTTTAGGTAGACTCTGAAAAGCTTGCAATATCTATGAAAGTGCGAAGTAAGCTGATTGGCTTTCTCTGCTCCCACTCTCATTGGCGGCTACTGGTGGATAGACGAAAGGAATGATGCCAGAGTTAGAATTGCCAGGAAACAGCTATTAGAAGCTCAGATGGGTATGATAAGAAGAATGAAATAAAAATTATTATTACGACATATGCCTTTCACGTAAATACTTTTTTGGTGATGCTATCACCTTACTCTGGGATGTGTGGAATTTTGTACGGGTAGTTCCACTAAACAACATACCTGCCTCTGGAGGGTCATTTCTCTGTGCCCGCTTCAAAAGGCTGGATCATGTTGGTACTCTGCTCGGTCACATCCTCACATCTGAATCCGTCGCCTGTCCCCATGTCTCAAGCAAGACTATTACCCTCTTTTGATCCGCTTTGATGGGGCTCCATATCTGACTCCGTCTTCCAAATGGCACAAGCCTAATTGCCCGCTTCAATCCTGATCCAACATTATAAAACTTTCCCCCTCTTATTGACGGAGGGCCTATACAGCATATGCCAATTTCTCCACCACACTTATCTATACATTTACCCGCAAACAATTCCAACACCCTGTCATTTGCTAAGCCTGCCTTGATCAGAATGCAAGGTCAGGCTCAAGTCACCAAGCTTCAAGGCTTAGTTTGGCCCCAAATCATTGTAGCGGGGCTGGCTTGAAGCAACTTTTTCTGAAATCCCGTTGTGCCAAGAATAGACCAGTAAGATTCTCACTTGCAACTCAGGGCTTCGCGGCGACGACGATGGATTTGATTTGGAAGGTTGCGCTGGGGAGTTCGGAGGTCTCGGCTTGCACGGTGGCGTTGATTCCCATGCTTGCGAGGGCTCCCCGGATTATGCCGCAGGGGAACCAGAGGAACTTGTTGTTTGTTAGCTCATGTTCTTCTTTCTGTGGGGATTATGTGGTATGGTAAGAGAGGAATGAGAGGGGAATAGTGGCTTGGATAGACTTCAATGCGTGGTGAAAAATGGGATAGAAAAATAAGAAGAGATATCCATGGTACTTACAGGTTGTGCTCTAACTACTGCCTGTCCTCCAGCTTCTGTACTCATCTTTGCGAATGGACGAAAGGAGTTGTCTGTTAATACGTAGACTCCCTATTCTGACTGTTAGCATCTGATTTCCCAAAATTCAATGGTTCTCCAAAAATGTTTCCCAACACCGCTTCCATCTTTCTAACCAGAAACCTATACCAGTTCGAGGCTATTGAGATTCAGAGACATGGATGAGGGAAGCGTACCCTATGATTCGTCTTTAGATTGTCGATCTGTTTCCGGAAAACGAGCATCCACAGGTCTTTGCAGAGAAATTTGATGACGTCCAGGGTATCTTGGAAACGAGGTCTGTCTCTAGAAAACCTGTAAATGAGTTGTTAGCATGATTTTCTTATTCCATTGTGGCTCGGAAGTGGCAGAGGGACTTGAGGAGAAAGCCGTGGGGATGGAGAGAGGAAAAGGAGCACCATGAGGCGCGAAAGATTCTGTAGGGTCCTCCCACTTGAGAGAACCTCCACTATCTCGCACCAAGCCCCTAGACTATGAAGAGCCCATTTCCTCATAGCCGTCTCTCGCTCTGCTCCCTGTATAGCCTTCGAAGACCCATTCTCCACTCCCCACGCTCATCCCAACTCTGCCTTCCTTCCTCTCAATCAAGACAACACCAGCAAAAAGAACCCCCATCACAAACATACCTTTCAACCAACCCCTGCCCAACCCTATACCCCAGAGACTCCAATCGAAAGAACACCACATCCCTCTCCTCCTCATCCTCTCCCCCCACCGTCCCCCCTCCAACCACAGTTCCCTCC